ATTTTTTTTAAAAATATTAATAAATACAAAAGGAGGATTAAAAAAAGCAGAGATAAAAGTGTTATCCGTACATAAACCATCAAGTATAGCAAAATTTTGTGTGCCAGGCACTTCAACTTTGCGCGCATCGATGTGTTCGAATGGTTTATACCAAATGATATATTTATTGATTGGTAAATTATACGTGAACTGAAATTTGTGACAATTCCAAATAAATTAATTAAAAGTTTAGTCAAAAAAGATTTTGAAATTAACTGAAATTACAGTTGTATGATTTTAGCTTATTGTAAAACACAAAAAAAGAGAAATTAATGATTTAAAGTTAATTATTTAATTTCTAGTAAATTTTTCTTTCCACTACAAAATTTCATATGAAAAATATGAAATTACATTATTCCTTTTTATTTAATGCATAGCTTTTGAAAAAGTCATGAATTCATAAAAAAATTTTGAATTTTCTAGATATTAAGCCTTATTTCATCATTTTGATGATTTCATCAAAATTTTAAAATATTAATTCATTGATTAAATTTTAACTTTTGGTGGTTTCCAGTCAACACGTGCCCGTAACGGAGCTTCATCATTCAGCAAATTAACGGAATGAGTTTGTGGTTCTGATGGAGCTAAAAATGAATGCAATTCATAATGATATAATACAATTAATAAATATTTTGTAAGGTAAGAGAAAAATTTGTTAATAATAACTTTTAATAAACATCAACGATTAAAATAAAAAGTTTTCGTAAACATTAAAGATTGAAATGATGAAAGTTTTGATAAACACCAAAGATTAGAATGACAAAAAGTTTTGATAAATAGTAATGATCAAAGTGAAAAAGGTTTTGATAAACAGTAATGATTAAAGTGAAAAAGATTTTGATAAACACTGGTGATTAAAAAAGATAAAAACTTTTGATAAATACTAATGATTAAAATGATAAACAGTTTTGATAAACACTAAAGATAAAAAACTTACGCAATCCACCGGTAAGAATTTTTTTGCTTGCACTAAATTCACCGTCACCATGTCTGTTGAAAGCATTTACCCGGAATGAATATTCCGTATTCGGTTCGAGATTAGTGATCAATGTATGTGTTTTCTGCAAATAAGAACAATGACACCCGGAAATTTGATACAGCGATGAAATATATTTCAATACAATGAAAAACACTGAATGCTAAATAAAAAAGAAATCTAATAAACTACTGATATATTAACTAATTAGTGTTATTGGATAGGTACTTAGTAACTATTATTTTTCGATTATTTAATAAATACTAGAAATTTAAACGATTTTAAATATATGCATGCATTTTATATAAAACTATTTTGATATTTGATTTAGAAAAAAAAGAGAAATCGATTTTGATGTTTTATAAAGTTTAAAATTGCGATAAAAAAATTACGCTCAAGAACTAACATTAATGATACAGCATAGAGAATGCAAAACTTCTACCCGAAGTTTTTTTGTTTTTCTTTTTTAAATTAAAATTTTGATTTCATGAAATACAACTAACATGTTGATCATAAATGATAGCTCGTTGTAATTTATCATTAATCGGTTCACCATTTAATAATCGATCCTTATAAACATAATATCCGATGATATCACCATTTGCATATAATGGCTTCTCCCAACTTACCTTTACCGCTGATGCATTAACCAACATAACTTCCATATCTCTCGGAGCTGATGGTACTAAAATAAAAAAAAGTAAATATAAAATATTGGTTCAAAAAACTGAATATCAACTAATGAAATAAAATTTAATTTGATGAAATTTTTTAAAGTATAATTTGGATAAGGTTCTTTTATTATTATTTTGAAAAAAGTCTTTTTTTAAGAAAATGCATAAATTTTTTTCTCATTTTTAAACGATTTACTAATTTATGTCGCGCTCTGGAAAAAGTATTTTCTTCAAAATATTTCAATTTTTTTTATTAAATCAAATTTATTTTACTACTAGCGTAAATTTTAAATAATATTACGCCAGAATGAATCATTAGAGATCGAATAAATATTTTCAATGAAAAATTTGGAATTTAGATTAAAATATTGGAATAAAAATGCAAGCATTTATTGAATATATAATATTTCGCAAAACATTCAACATTCTTTTTTCCAATCAAAATATTCAAATGGCAATGCGAAATAAAGTAGCTAATTTTCCAAAAATTTAGTTTTTTCATTATCTTGAATTTCAGGAAAACTTGATCGAAGTTTATAGAAGAAATGTTAATACTATTTGCAGAAACATTTTTTGCAAACATGAATTACACTCAGTTAAAAACTTTAGAAAAACTTGAAAAATAGGGAAGCCAAAAATTGGAATCAACATTATTTGAAATTAATTATAACTTAAAGAAACGTAGTTCTAAGGTTGTTGTCGATCACAAGCAATCATAAGAAAAGTAGGATAAATTAAACATTTCGTTTCTCATCAATATAACTTTAAATAAATCTTATCCAATCACTGGCAAACAAATTACCCTTCAAGCAATAAAATAAGCAAAAAAAAAGTTCAGCTCACCGATTTAAATCTTAAATATTGGAGGAAATTAAGGCAAAATAACACTGATAATTAGTATTTCGTATTATTGGAAAAACATTTGTTAGATGAAATAAAGTGAAAAAGATTAATGAAATTAAATGAAAAAAAATGTTTCGAATATTTTTTCATTTTCTTATCTTCACCTTTCTGAATTTTTTGTCTCGAACTTCCAGCATCGATTAATTGAGCAAAAACAATAACAATAAAGAAGAAACAATAATGAATGATAGTGCAAACAGCTGGGATTATTGTTCTTGCTGTTGTTGTTGTTGTTGTTGTTAGTGCTACTGTTACCGTATGACGCATAAAAGTACCGTAATCGATTAACACAAAATAAACTATCCAATCAATACATTTCCTTTTTTCCTTTTTTTTGATTGCTTCCCTTTTTTCTTATTTTTTTTCCAAATCCGGAATTTCTGCTATTACTATCAGTTAATATCGTTATCACTCCATTGTTCCTTGTTTTTTTTTTTTAATTCCTAAATTTAGCAACGATTTATATTTTCGTTTGATTACTATGATATTACGCAAAACGTTCAAATAAATCTATGAACTAAATAAAATTGTAAAATTTTCGGACTTTTCTACATGGGAAAAATATCCAAAAATATTATTACCAAATACCCAATTAAAATTAATGAATCTGGAAAAAAATGATGAAATTAGTGAAATCGGAAGATTGAAGTTGGAAACTACTAAAGGGGAGAAAAATTATTCCTAATTCAAGCTAAACCAAATAAAACCTTCAATAATTTAATGAATGACAAAAACAAAAAAAAGTAGGTATGACTTTATTATAAAAGTTGCTCGATTTTTTTAAACAAATTAAAAATATTAATATTTTCAGTAATTGTATACACAATCATTCGAAAAAAAGAAATGGCTAAAGTCGATACATTCATTCAATAATTATTTCTAATTACAGCTATGATTATGAAATTTTTAAAAAATTAAATGTAATTTCAATTATCGAGAAAATTTGTTTGCAAGCGATTTTTAAAAATGAAAAGCAGAACAGCTGAAGAAAGTAAAACAGATGTTTCATAATAATATCCAAATAATATATTTACCTAATTACGCTACTAAATTAATTAGTATTCATAAATCCAATGATCACTGATGGCAACAATTATTCACATTTCTGTTTTATATTATCAATATTATCATAAATAATTTTGATAAAGATACTATTATCACCAACTTATCCATTCATCAGTTGTAAATTATTTGTAAAAGGAAATGGCTATCAACTAATGCTCATCGTTCATTCTCATTTTAATTTTAAAAACATTTATATTATTGAATTTCAAAAAAAAGAAAAAAATGAAATTTGGTTTGATCATACATTGTTACTGAAAAATCTCGCTAATTTAAAATTTAAATCATAACTATCGAACAAAGCATAAATTTGTATTATGTTTAACTTCAAAATACTGATTATGTTTAACTTCAAATTTTTCATCTTTTTTTTCTGCAAATTTTATTTGCATGATTCCAAATGAATCAAGAAATCTCAAATTTTATCCAAAACAGATGATATGACAGCAGCCAGCGAAGACTAGCATCCTAAATAAACAATGAACTGAAAAAATATATTCAAAAAAGAAATGGCTTGGGTCAAACAATTTTCCGAAGATAATTTGAAAATAATTTTCGATATTTCTTCAATTCATCAAAATTTTCTCAGTTCCCATTTTATCTGAATTTCATCATAGAAGCACTTTTTTAAAAATAATTTCATCCGACCAAAATTAATCCAAAAGATGAATAAAAGATTTTAGAAAAAATTTTTACAAAATTTATCATCAATTAAGAAAAAAGCAAACATTAGCAAATTTCATTTGAAAGCTTAAAAGTAGATAAGTCAGATTAAATAAATATGTTTTCAACAACAATCTTCAATAGACTAACCTCATTTTTAAATAAAACTTCAATATGCTTTTTAGAGACATAATACCAATTTTTCAAACTACTTTATATATTGAAGTAAAATTTACAACATTTGTTTAATTTTACTTTCATTTATCACTGAGTTATAAAAATAAATTTACTTATTTCTTTTCAATTTATTTTTTCCAAAAGATTTCGTCAAAAAAAACACAATCAAAATGCTTGAAGAAAAAAAATCTGATCATAGATTATCCCTTTTAAAACAAAATATTTTATAATTATGACAAAAAAAAAGTTCCAATTCACTTCAAAACACTTTTCAATGAATTCGATGAGTTTTTTAAATTTTGCATCAAATTTTACTTAGAGCTTAAGATAAGATAAGATAAATATAGGAAACCGTAATAAATAAAATACTATTACATAAATAGATTGATACAGATTTCACCAACGAAAATTGATTTATCTATAATTAAGTGAAAAGTTTCATCTAAGGAAAATTAAGCAAATACAATCTCACAATCTTAAAAGTATCATTTAAAAAAAGAAAAAAAAATAACCTACAATAAATTAATAAATACCGTAATGGCACTTCAAAAAAAAAAGAAAGTTCCATCATTAAAACTATTTTCTTCTTCCTTTGTTGAAAAGTGTAGGAATAAATGATGTTTCCTCTCATACAAAATAATGAGGTACTTGAAAACTGAATTATTAACTCGTCTAAAAGCAAATGCGCACATACACACACATACACATATACACACACACACACACA